TTAAAGGCGCAAATTGCTTGGTGCTCTGATACATTCCCCACTGTATGATGAAGGGTAGTCCATCTCTAGATATAATCTCTCAAAGTCTCATTCTACTTCTGAACACAATGCTGCAATTCTGCCAAACCAGCGGGTCGCTTGCAGGTGCCCTCAAATGTTTTGGTAAATACTCGGACCAACTCTTCCCAATTGAAAATGCTCCCAAGGGCCAACTGATTCAACCAAGCTCTGGCAGAACCCTCAAGCATCAAAGAGAGGTGTCTCATGGCCACCTCATCGTTACCACCACCAATGTGCATGGCCACTCGGTAATCCTCCAACCAAGTGTCGGGCTTTGACCCTCCGGTGAACTTGCTTACGCCCGTCGCTAACCTGAAGTTGTGAGGGATCTCAGCGGCTCGGATGGCTCTTCAGAAACACTCGGGGCTGGAAACGTGCACTCTGCTTCCACTGGGTCGATCTCTATCCAGCCCTTCTCTGTATGCTCTATTCCTGTCGACCAAACCTTGCACAAGGACTGACCTTGCATCAAACCCAGGCTCCTTTGGGTCGACTAGAACTCTGCGATCATTGCCATACGGGCGCCTGTCGTCATACCGCCAGGGCGCATATGACCCGCCCCTCAGAGGGGGCAAAGGAACTCGACGGTGGTTGTCACGGGCATACTCACGATCAAATTCTCCATGGGCTCTTCCCAGGTGCCGATCTCCATGGTGATCATGATCTTCACGTCGCAAAGGCGACCCAGGACTGTCTGCCGACTGAACTGTGTCTGCCCTCACTGACCTGCTATGGACCCTGTTGCATGACTGAGCAACAGCTGAATTTTGCTCTTCTGCCACCCGGACCAACGCTCGGATATGCTCCAAGCCTCTTCCAGCCTCTGAACGGGACGGTTGAATAGATTCTACTATACGGACAATAGTTGTAAGATTCTGGATCAGAGTGCGGTATACCTGGGGTTCAGGCGGAAACAATTGTCGTTGTCGTCGACTGGATTCGGGGATCAGTCGGCGGGCGCATTCGTCGAGAGAATGTTGGAGGTTTTCCAGACGCGCGCGCTCGGCCCACGTGGACAGGCACGCAGCCTCCAAGGCCCGAGCCTCGGCAGTCTCCCCCTCACTAGGGGTCTGGAGCGCCTCCATGTTGCGGCGGTGCAACTCTTCCCTCTGCTGCGAATTGAGAGGTTGGCGCTCGTACTCATCATGATCATACGACGGGCCATCACCGTCGCCGTTGCCGCCGTTGCGCGAAACCCGGGTGGGCTACGACGAGAGTCGACCATGAGAACTTCTGCCGCGGAGTCGCTGCTCCCGCGCTCGAAAAGACTATCTGCGGAGCCAGTCGACGGGTCGAATGGTCCGTAGAGAAATTCATCGGGCTCGATCGCCGCCACTTGTCGGTTGGCCGACTGGCGGGCCACCGCATGCTTTACCCACCGCTGGAGCCGCGACCGACCGGATCGCTTGCGGCGGCGGAGTGTGTGGATGACGCGGGAGCCGACCGATACGGGGTCGACGGCTGCTATAAAGAGTTATTAATGATCTTTAAGACTACGGAGTGAACGCCTGACCATTGCCATCCTGAGTGACTAGATCTTCTGTACTTCGAGTGGTTTCTTGTATGGTCGAGTGACTTCATCTTGGTCGAATGGAATTGGGGGTATCCGAGTGAGGTAATTGGTCGAGTGGATTGCACTCCATGGTTACTTTAGTCGGTATCTCTTGTTATACTTTGAATGTCCTTATTCTAGGATAATGACCATTGGTAAGGCGTATAATCAGGCCTATGACCCTACCCTAGGTCTATGATATCGTCAGTTATCTTTCATGACACACAAAGATTTTATTTCTCCAATCAATATGTGCCGCGTGCAAGCCGCTCCTGCCCAAGCAGCCCAACCCATTTGCTAGCTCTAGTTTTTTTTTGTCGTACCTGTGCCGACGTGGATTGTGCCAGAGAGCGCCCAGCTCGCGTAGCTTAATGTATTAAAGACACACAAAGTTTTTATTTCTCCAATCAATATGTGCCACGTGCAAGCCGCTCCTGCACACCCGTTCGCTAGCTCGAGTTTTGTTTCTGTCATACCTGTGCTGACGTGGATTGTGCCAAAGAGCGCCCAGCTCGCGTAGCTTAATGTGTTGGATCGCATGACCTCATCCAAACCGACTCAAACAAGAAAATCTACACAAATCAACCTGTGGTTGAGATGGTTAGGTGGACAGTGGTATCCCCAACCCACCAGGTTTCAAATCCTGGTGCTCGCATTATTTCTGGATTTGGCTCAGTCTCTCAGAGGTGCTCATAGGGGTAGGGTGTGCGTGTGTGCGTTCATAGGGATGAGTGTATGCGCGTGTATATGAGCGTTTGTGTCTGTACTGATGCTAAAAAAAATCTACACAGACTCTCTCTCTTATCTTAACTATTTACAACTTAACTAATTTAAATATCTGGCAAGCTGATCATAAGATGCCGAAGCAAACTACTACTCTCTCCGTCCCATAATATAAAAACGTTTTTGACACTAGATTTAAACACTTGACTAAACGTGCAATTAGTACAGAACCTACAAATAAAAAGAGCACACACTACGTTGAATCCGCGTTCAATTTAATTTCAGTTGAATTTTGTCCACTGTAAAAAAATTGCATGGTGTCCTGAACGTCGGCTTCACTTCCTTCGCTGGTATGATCTGAACTTTGTCGGTCGCACAAGTGTCATCTTTAATAATTGCATGTATGCTTTTCGTCCGGCGCGGCTTCATTTCCTTCGCAAGTATGATCTGAACTTCGTCGGTCACATGAGTGTCGTCTTCAATAATTGCATGTATACTTTTCGCCCGACGCCTAGCTGGTATGACATATATCTCCTTTTGTGCATGGCCACCTTCAAAATGTCCGTTGCCAACTTACCAGACACGTCACATCATGAGATCTACCAAGTGGTTGTCGTGTCTGGTGCTAAACGTTGAGGTTCACAGTTTGAGTCTCCTAAACGCTCTTTTTTTTTCAATTGGACGGGTTGGGAATAGGAGCTCGCCTTTTAGAGGTTCATGTCCGAGTTTCTTCTCTAGTTTTATCTTTTCCCAAAAAGTGTTCATGAATTTTTTGAAAAAAATAACATTTTAGAAAGTTGTTCCCATAATTTAAAAAATGTTCACAATTTTGAGAAAGAATCTCAAAGTTCCAAACAATGTTTGTATTGTTAAGAACTGTTCTTGTCGTAAAAAAATATTCATGTTTTGTAGGAAATAATTTTTTTTTTAAAATTGAGTTTTAAAAAATTTCCTCGTTTAAACAAATGGTTTACAGAATTGTCAATAAATGTTTGCGGTTTTTCAAATAATGTTTGCGTTTGTTCAAAAGATGTTTCATCGCTAATGGGCGGTCCCTGGGACTCTTTGAGGCAACACGCATCGTATAGGAGGTCCCGTTGACCGGCTCTTATATTTCTAGTATGTGTATCTCTAATTCTCTACACAACAAATTATAAAGTGATTTCATTGCATGCATAACCGAGATGGAATTCACAAAGCGTAGGAGGGGCATATGCCACCAGCTAATTGGATGATGAGAACATGGAGTGCATGCATCAGTCCTCCAATACTACTACCGCTATATCAGTGGTGAGAACATGGAGTACATGCATCAGTCATCCAATACTACCGCTAATATATCAGTGGCTAATCTTGCTCTTCGCTTTAACCACCAAGATGATCCATGGGTCCCTAACCAGGACCAACTGATGGAACTCACATGTGTAGTAAGATGGAGTCCATAAAGTCATTGACCTGGATTTATTAGAACATCGTGAATACCCTATTAAAGACACTTCCAAAATTCTAGTAAGACAATACTTATGTGCCGCAAAATTAAGAACGACGATGTTAATATAGTTATAGTTCCTTTCGTACGCTCAAGTTGATTAGGTGAAGTGTGTCCACGAGCTGACATTTGTAGGTAGGCTTAGTTGGCGCCAAAGAAGAAATAAATTAGCAAAACCACCTGGGCCATGTCCAGTAAGTCAAATGTGATATTCAGGAGCAACCGGGTCCCAATTTCTGAAGCCGGGAGAGGTCAGGTGATATTCAGGACCACCACACGTCCGCCATGGACAGCCATAGTGCTTTCGCCAACGGACACCTACAAAAAGCGTAGAAATTGTACAAGGTGAGAAGTGTCGTTCAGAAAGGCCACCATGAAAACTAATTTTTGGAAAGCAATATGTGTATGAAGAGAAATACAATTTCTGTTACGTTTAAAAAGAGAGAGTTTTTTTAAAGATACTGAATTCAAATTGAAGACCCCGCAAAAAAAAAACGAATTGAAGAGAGACTACTCAACATATGCATAAGGGGCAGAGTATACCACCGCCAGGTTGGGTGGTGAGAAGATGGAGTGCATGCATAAGTCATTGAATACCGCAGCTAATTAATCTTAGTAGCTAAGTCATTGACTTGGATTTATTAGAGCGTCGTTGATGCCTTATTAAAGAAATTTCGAAAATTCTAGTAAGACAATACTCCCTCCGTCCGCGAATAAGTGTACTTCTAGCCTTTGTTCTAAGTCAAAGTTTTAAAATTGTGACCAAATATATACAAAAGAGTAGTAACATATATGACATAAAATTGATATATTATGAAATTACAATTCAAAATGAATCTAGTGATACTAATTTAGTGTCATAAATGCTGCTACTTTTCCCTATAAAGTTGGTCAAAGTTTTAAAACTTTGACTTAAGACAAAAGCTAGAAGTACACTTATTCATGGACGGAGGGAGTATGTGGGTGCCGCAAAATGAAGAAGGATATGTAGGTTACATTTGTAGGTAGGTTCCATTAGCTGGCGCCAAATTTGAATGTTAGGTTCTTGCGTGCCAGCTAAGTAATTCCTCAACAGGGAAATGAAGTGCAACAAGTAATTCACCAACGGCATAATTTTCAACCAGTCGACAAAAGAAGAGGAATCAAAATTAAACGAAAGATCAAAGTTGGGCGAAAATGGCAACTGATTTTCAACCAGCAATTATCGAGACACCGAAGAAACCCACAGCTGTATCCATCAACCCATGCATGCACAAAAATGCTAGACATACAAGATCGTACAGTGCCATGCCATTGCCACTCCACTTTATAAACCCCCTACGGCTACGGCTACGGATTCATCGATCGGCAATGGCGATCTCACTGCTCGTCCAGCTGCCCCAGCCGTGGCACTTCCTCCTCCTCCTAGCCGGCCTCCTCCTTGCCGTTGTCTCCTACCTGCTGGTGACGAGGCGCGACCCTGAGGAAAGAGGACTGAGGCTGCCGCCGGGTCCGTCGGGGGTGCCTGTGCTCGGCAACCTGCACCAGCTAGGCCCGCTGCCGCACCGAAGCCTGCGCGACCTGGCCGGGCGGCACGGCCCCGTCATGCTCCTCCGCCTCGGCGCGGCGCGAGCGGTGCTGGTTTCCTCCGCGTCGGCGGCGCGCGACGTGATGAGGGCCCACGACGCCGACTGCTGCAGCCGGCCCGCATCGCCAGGACCCGCCCGCCTCTCCTACGGCCGCAAGAGCGTCGCCTTCTCGCCCTACGGCGCCTACTGGCCCGACATGCGCAGGCTCCTCGCCGCCGAGCTCGTCGGAGCGCGCGGCGTCAGCGCCGCCTGGGCCGCGCGGCGGGAGCAGGTGGACAGGCTCATGTCCGCCCTGCGCAACGCGGTGGTACCGGTGGCGTTGGACGAGCACGTGTTCCGCGTCGCCGACGGCATCATCGGCACGGTGGCGTACGGGAGCGTGTACGGCGCGGAGGCGTTCGCGCGCAAGTACGAGCGATTCCAGCACGTGCTGTTCGAGGCCACGGACATGTCGGCAAGCTTCTCGGCCGAGGACTTCTTCCCCAACGCCGCCGGCCGCCTCGTAGACCGGCTCGTCGGCGTCGTCGCGCGGCGGGAGAGGATCTTCAGAGACCTGGACGGCTTCTTCGAGGAGATGCTGGAGCATCATCAGGACCCCGCGCGCCCCAAGCCGGAGAGCGGCAGCGGCGACCTCGTAGACGCCCTCGTCGGCCTCTGCGAGAAGCATGGCTTCACGACGGAGCACGTCAAGGCCGTCCTCGTGGACGCGTTCCTCGGCGGCATCGACACGAGCTCCGTGACGATCCTGTGGGCGATGTCGGAGCTCATGAGGAAGCCGCGTGCGCTGAAGACGGCGCAGGAGGAGATCAGGGCCGCGGTCGGCGGCAACGGCAACGGCAACAGGGTGCAGCCAGACGACCTGCCGAAGCTGGCGTACCTTAAGATGGTGGTCAAGGAGACTCTACGGCTGCACCCGCCGGCGACGCTGCTGCTGCCGCGGGAGACGCTGCGGCGGGTGGAGATCGGCGGCTACGAGGTGCCGGCGGGAACGCGGGTGCTGGTGAACGCGTGGGCGGTCGGGAGGGAGCCGGCGAGCTGGGGGCCGGACGCGGAGGAGTTCGAGCCGGAGAGGTTCGAGGCGGGCGGGAGGCACGGCAAGGTGGTCTTCCGCGGGGCGCACATGGAGCTGGTGCCGTTCGGCGCCGGGCGGCGGATCTGCCCGGGGCTGGCCATGGGCGTGGCGAACGTGGAGTACACTCTGGCCAACATGCTGTGCGGCTTCGAGTGGGCGGTGCCGGAGGGGGAGGAGGTGAGCATGGAGGAGGCCGGCGCGCTGAACTTCCACCGCAAGACACCGCTGGTGCTCGTGCCCACCCCATACGCACCGCCGGCGTGTGAGTGCTAGCTGGTAAATATGTCTTGAGTAAATTAGTTGAACAAATGGAGAAAGGTTGATTGATATTGGCATATGTACAAGAGAGAATTCCTTATTTGGCCCTTTCTTAAAGTTTGATTCACTTTTTGGCCCTAAAAAGTATTTTCTTTCTTTTTTGACACTCAAACTTTGTTTTGTTCCCTATATAACACTTCCGTCAGTTTTGCCTAGCAACGGTGTTAAGTCTGACCTAAAAAGACAGTTTTACCCCTAGTGCAGTATGTGATCAGATTATTTACATGCAAACACAGAGGTAACTTTTTTAAATACACATTGAACATTTTCCTTATACAGAGTGAACATTTTCTTTATACAGATTGAACATTTTCCTAATACAGATTTAAAATTTTCAGGTATATGGTGAACATTTTCTCCGACGGATCTCACGGTATTCAATTGGTGGTTGTCTTTGATGGATCTGCTTGGACCTGGTCTTTGTTCCTGTATCTTCAGGTTGGATCCTTTCGATCCGCCTTTCTTCATCAACGGTGGTTGCTATTCTGGTGTGTTGGTCCTATAGGGCCTTAGCACGAGGAGTTCTCGACTGTGTACTACAACAAGTTGTGTCCGACTCTGGCGAGGGAGAGGCGATAACGGCAGCGTGCCTTCAACTCGCTTCAGTGCTTGTAGTCATCCCTAGGTGGTCTACGGATCTCGATGTAACTTCTATTATTTCTAGGGTTCGTTGTACTGTCATGATTGAAGATGAAAAGATCGAAAGTTCCCGTGAAAAAAACTTTCATGAATTTGGGGAAATTGTTCAAAAAGTTTATTTGAAAACTATTTTATAAATGTTTCTCACTGTGATGGTGGGGTTGTGGTTTAGAAGCTAGCCCAGATCTAGTTCTCCCCGACTTGGTTGCGGTGG